GGGTGGGACGGGACGGGACAGGGTGGGACGGGACAGGGTGGGACAGGACGGGACGGGACGGTACAGACATGGTTAATACTATTTGACCCCCATTTTATGGCGAGGGTCTAAAAACAGACAAACCAGTTTGTCCATATAATAACCAGGCCCCTGGCAACCTAGTATGAAATTGTAGTCATGGAAACCTGTTACAATATGCTGCTATACCTGGTGCTGGAACTTTGTAGGATCTCTGCCATGGACTGGAACAGCTGTACCATACACGTGAAGTTCCCGTACAATAGAACAGCCTCCCTTAAGCTCTGCCCTGAACGTGTCTGCCGCACATCTCCTTAGTCGCAGTAGACCGATGAGAATGTCCTGTTCTGGGTCTTCGTATGACAGGAAGGTCTCCCACCCCCCATTGGCTACATAGTCTCTGCGGATCAGTTCAGCCTAGGTAAGTATGTACAATAATTGCTCAGATAATTTCTATATTTATGTTTCTGTTGTATGTTTGAGTTTCCTTTATCACACAATGGTGCTCATTTTGTGCTCAACATTAATATTAATTCATTAAGATTTCTTGAAAGTCTCAAATGTTGAACTAAAAGTTATATTACACCTGCTTTGTTTTATACCAGTTATCAAGCGTAAAACAATACCCATGAATTAGGCATTAAAGCTACATCAAGGAAGCTACTGTTAAAATAAAATTGATAGAATATTGATAACCCTGTACTTGAATTACATTACTAATTAAATGCTTACAATCTGCACTGCTTTGTACTCAATAATACAGTAGTCACAGTCTGTTTGATTGATACCCATAGACTCATAAACATAGTCTAAAAGGTGATACGCACCTCCACGAGAGGAGTTGAACAAGTTTGGTTATGCTGATGCAGCTGTTGTGACATTAACTTGACATTTAGTGTCTAGGAGCTACCACTGTATGTAAATGTCAAGCTGTTTTTATTTTAAAACTGAGCAAGTTACAGTAGTTGGCATATCCTCCACTGACATTAACACTTCATTAACTGGACATAAACTAAACAGAAAACCAATCCTTTACCTGCTGGAACAATAATATCTATGCTCTTCATATATTTATGAACAGCACCAAAATGCAATTTTCAACTGCATATTCCGTATTTGTATAGTTTTTTAATATTTTTACTCTACTGATAATTTCTTTCATCAACCATGTTCTACCAAATCTGTTTCACATCGCTTCAAACAAGTTGACCCTGATTAATACAATTTTATTAACTTACCTCAAAAGGTTTGACCTTGTTATGTATTTCCTGTATGCCAACCTCGCGTGTGCGGACATCTCGACATTGGGAACCAAGGTCCTTCATTCGGGCAAGCGCTAGTTCCCTGAGGTTACCGTGCTCTACACCCGAGCTGACCAATGGCATTGGGATATCCCTGATCAGAAACAGATATCAGAGAAAATCACAAAGCTAGAACTACAGGAACATCAATGTGTTTCTCTCTATACAGTAAGACCTGACGTTGAAAGCGGTGGGACCATGTACAAACTTGGAGATTGACAAGTATTTGAGATATGAATGAGAGATGATAAAGTGGAGACTCCAATTATTAACTGCTGACTGTATATCTACAGTGAATGTATACGTCTAGTAAAGCTGGTGATGCCAAAATACAACTGTGCAAATAATTACTGAATCTATAGAATCTTTTGTGAGATATATATGTGTTTTCCTCAATTATTGCATGAAAGTAAACTATGAGCACAGAAAGTGAATTAAAAGTAATGAGTTTATTATATTTCCTTAATACTATTCTAGGGTACTAAACAGATAGAAGGTGTATTAGTTACCTTTGTACTCTGTAGACCCTGGTCCAGGGTGGAACTAGTGCCAGTATCCTAGCAACCAGATCCACTAGACCACTTGGGGGATAACTCTTGTATCGGCCAGTCTTCCACAATTCATACAGACCTATCACAAAACCAAACCATAAATATTCTGTCACATACAGACCTATCACAAAACAAGCCATTCAGATTGATGTCTCGCCTGTCTTTAACCATCAATGCACATATCAGAGAAACTATTTTAAACACTCTTAATGTTGATGGAGATGCTGACAAAGTCAATGGACCATGAAAGGTAGGCGGCATCCAGCAACTAAGATGCATCTATGGTCCAAGTTTGGTTGGTTTAGCACTTATACTTTCAGTGAAACTACGTTTAACGCAAAAACTGAATGTTGCCGCCGCCGATGGAAAAGCAACATCTTAGTCTCGCTTCTGCTACTTCCTAACGGCAAGACAACCAAACCATAAGCATTCTGTTGGTTGGTACAAAATTATATGGTTATACATATCCGTAATATCAATAATTTCCTTTCTTTCCTTTTTAAATTTTCTTCCAAAACATGATGATGGTGAATGTGTATTAGTAGAAATGAACTCTGATACATACCTGTCCCTCTGATCACCAATGTAGGGTATATCTTTAAACCATCAGCTCTAAATGCTGGATTTTCAAAAAATTCCTGTAAATAAAAAAAAAATCTTTATACATGTGACAGAAAGCAAGTCTTTCCAATTCCAGTGTTTTGGAGTAAAGTGGATGAGAGTTGTCTCCCCCTAGGAGGATGCCAGTGTTTTGGAGTGAAGTGGCTGAGAGTTGTCTCAACCTAGGAGGATGACAGTGTTTGTAAGTGAAGTGACTGAGAGTTGTTTTCCCTCCAGGAGGATGCCAGGGTTTTGGAGTGAATTTGCTGAGAGTTGTCTCCCCCTAAGAGGACACTAGGGTATTTGAGTGAAGTGGCTGAGAGTTGTCTCCCTTCTAGGAGGATGCCAGGGTTTTGGAGTGAATTTGCCGAGAGTTGTCTCCCCTTAAGAGGACACCAGGGTATTTGAGTGAAGTGACTGAAAGTTGTCCCCCCTCTAGGAGGATGCCAGTGTTTTGGAGTGAAGTGACTGAGAGTTGTCTCCCCTCTAGGAGGATGCCAATGTTTTGGAGTGAAGTGACTAAGAGTTGTCTTCCCCCTAGAAGAATGCCAGTGTTTTGGAGTGAAGTGGCTGAGAGTTGTTTTCCCTCTAGGAGGATGCCAGGGTTTTGGAGTAAAGTGGCTGAGAGTTGTCTACCCCTAGGAGGATGCCAGTGTTTTGGAGTGAAGTGTCTGAGAGTTGTCTCCCCCTAGGAGGATGCCAGTGTTTTGGAGTGAAGTGGCTTAGAGTTGTCTCAACCTAGGAGGATAACGATGTTTGTGAGTGAAGTGACTGAGAGTTGTTTTCCCTCCAGGAGGATGCCAGGGATTTGGAGTGAATTTGCTGAGAGTTGTCTCCCCCTAAGAGGACACTAGGGTATTTGAGTGAAGTGGCTGAGAGTTGTCTCCCCTCTAGGAGGATGCCAGGGTTTTGGAGTGAATTTGCCGAGAGACGTCTCCCCCTAAGAGGACACCAGGGTATTTGAGTGAAGTGACTGAAAGTTGTCCCCCCTCTAGGAGGATGCCAGTGTTTTGGAGTGAAGTGACTGAGAGTTGTCTCCCCTCTAGGAGGATGCCAGTGTTTTGGAGTGAAGTGACTAAGAGTTGTCTCCCCTCTGGGAGGATGCCAGTGTTTTGGAGTGAAGTGGCTGAGAGTTGTCCCCCCTCTGGGAGGATGCCAGTGTTTTGGAGTGAAGTGACTGAGAGTTGTCTCCCCCTAAGTGGATGCCAGTGTTTCGCAGATTCATTTTAAATCATTCAAGGTAATTATTTCATTGAATTTGTATTTCCTACTTTCAGGATACTGTTATTGAAATCCATTGTTAAAATTTGATGTAGACACATAGGACTTACTACAGCATAAGAGACAGACAGATAAAAACCGAGAGAAAAGAGAGGGATAAACATATGAGTTTAGAAAATCAAATCTCTTTTGTGTTCAAATTCCTACTAATGGGCCTAACTGTCTGGCCAGTCTTATCACTTATCCTTTACAATTCTACGCCTCTCTCGGCTGACATAAGTTAAGTCAGCTATCACTTACAATAAACTGTTCTATGTCTCTCTCCCAGCTAACATTGGGTAAATCAGGCATCATATGTGCTACCACCTTGAACCCTGCGTCTTTTGACATCCTGAAGGACTCACACACAGCCTTCACCGTGTGACCCCTGGAATAAAAAAAGTCATTGATTCCAAATGTATATCATAATTTTGAGAACACTCGTTGCAACATTTAGATTTGAATGGATAGAAAACTGTATATGAAATTTCCTTAAATATATCACAATAATGTCTGACCCTTGCCAGGAAATTAACCCTAACCTGACCCTTACTTAAAGCTTCAAAACATGGGTGAAATCAGAAATGTGACCTTGACTGTGAGAGGTAAGGAGCTAAATCTTTTTCTATTTCTGTGACATAAGAGTGATGCATAACTTTGAACCTAACCCACTGATATATTTCTGTGATGTAAGTGTTTCATATGACCGTGAATTTAACCGTCTGATAATTCTGTGACATAAGAGTGATATATGACCTTGAACCAAACCAAATGATATCTCGATGACAAAAGAGTGATATATGACCTTGAACCTAACCCTGATATATCTATGACATAAGAGTGATATGAAAGACCTTAAACTTTACCTGTTGGTGTCCCTGGCAACATCTTCATACACACACTGATATGAGAGACCTTGAACTCTACCTGTTGGTGTCCCTGGCAACATCTTCATACACACTGTGATATGAGAGACCTTGAACTCTACCTCTTGGTGTCCTTGGCAACATCTTCATACACACTGTGATATGAGAAACCTTGAACTCTACCTGTTGGTGTTCCTGGCAACATCTTCATACACACTGTGATATGAGAGACCGTAACTTTACCTGTTGGTGTCCCTGGCAACATCCTCATACACACTCTGGTATGAGAGACCTTGAACTCTACCTGTTGGTGTCCCTGGCAACATCCTCATACACACCGTGATATGAGAGACCTTGAACTCTACCTCTTGGTGTCCCTGGCAACATCTTCATAGACACTCTGGTATGAGAAACCTTGAACTCTACCTCTTGGTGTTCCTGGCAACATCTTCATACACACTGTGATATGAGAGACCATAACTTTACCTGTTGGTGTCCCTGGCAACATCCTCATACACACTCTGGTATGAGAAACCTTGAACTCTACCTGTTGGTGTCCCTGGCAACATCTTCATACACACTGATATGAGAGATCGTAACTTTACCTGTTGGTGTCCCAGGCAACATCTTCATACAAACTCTGATATGAGAGACCTTGAACTTTACATGTTGGTGTTCCTGGCAACATCCTCATACACACTCTGATATGTGAGACCTTGAACTTTACCTGTTGGTGTCCCTGGCAACATCCTCATGCTCACTCTGATATGAGAGACCTTGAACTTTAGCTGTTGGTGTCCCTGGCAACATCCTCTTACACACTCTGATATGAGAGACCTTGAACTTTTCCTGTTGGTGTCCCTGGCAACATCCTCATACACCCTCTGGTATGAGAAACCTTGAACTCTACCTGTTGGTGTCCCTGGCAACATCCTCATACACACTCTGATATGAGAGACCTTGAACTTTACCTGTTGGTGTCCCTGGCACCATCCTCATACACACTGTGATATGAGAGACCGTAACTTTACCAGTTGGTGTCCCTGGCAACATCCTCATACACACTCTGGTATGAGAAACCTTGAACTCTACCTGTTGGTGTCCCTGGCAACATCCTCATACACACTCTGGTATGAGAGACCTTGAACTTTACCTGTTGGGTGTCCCTGGCAACATCCTCATACACACACTGATATGAGAGACCTTGAACTTTACCTGTTGGTGTCCCTGGCAACATCCTCATACACACACTGATATGAGAGACCTTGAACTATACATGTTAGTGTCCCTGGCAACATCTTCATACACACTGTGATATGAGTGATCTTGAACTTTACCTGTTGGTGTCCCTGGCAACATCCTCATACACACTCTGATATGAGAGACCTTCAACTTTACCTGTTGGCCTGACAACATCCTCATACACACACTGATATGAGAGACCTTCAACTTTACACGTTGGTGTTTCTGGCAACATCCTCATACACACTCTGATATGTGAGACCTTGAACTTTACCTGTGGGTTTCCCTGGCAACATCCTCATACAAACTCTGATATGAGAGACCTTGAACTTCACCTGTTGGTGTCCCTGGCACCATCCTCATACACACTCTGATATGAGAGACCTTCAACTTTACCTGTGGGTTTCCCTGGCAACATCCTCATACAAACTCTGATATGAGAGACCTTGAACTTCACCTGTTGGTGTCCCTGGCAACATTTTCATACACACACTGATATGAGAGACCTTGAACTTTACATGTTGGTGTCCCTGGCAACATCCTCATACACACTCTGATTTGAGAGACCTTGAAGTTTACCTGTTGGTGTCCCTGGCAACATCCTCGTACACACGCTGATATGAGAGACCTTCAACTATACCTGTTGGCCTGACAACATCCTCACACACACACACTGATATGTGAGGCCTTGAACTTTACCTGTGGGTTTTCCTGGCAACATCCTCACACACACACTGATTTGAGAGACCTTGATCTTTACCTGTTGGTGTCCCTGGCAACATCCTCATACACACTCTGATTTGAGAGACCTTGACCTTTACCTGTTGGTGTCCCTGGCAACATCCTCGTACACACTCTGATATGAGAGACCTTCAACTTTACCTGTTGACCTGACAACATCCTCACACGCACACACTGATATGTGAGGCCTTGATTTTTACCAGTGGGTTTTCCTGGCAACATCCTCACACACACACTGATTTGAGAGACCTTGACCTTTACCTGTTGGTGTCCCTGGCAACATCCTCATACACACTCTGCACTCCAATCTCCTGTCGTGTACAGCCATACTTCAGCATGTCACTAAAACATATCACAATTACATCATCACAATTACATTACACATTACAGAAAATAATTCGCAAACAAAACATTGCATATACAAACATACCAGGTACCAGGTAAATATCAATGCAGGTTCAATTCAGTCTCACCACACTGATACAATGTCATAGGATTATTTTCCTTTCCTTTTTTTGTTTCATGAAATTTGAAACTAAATCATAAAATCAAAATCCAATTCCAGACAAACTTAACCAAAAAGGAAAAAGTTTGTAAATTCTAGACAAAAAATTAAATGACCTCATTTATGCTGTAGATACAAAAAGGCTGCACTACAGAACTATACACATTCACAAAGAATGGGGGTGGCTTAATGACAACAACATGTGGCTGGATCCTCGTTGGACATGGTGTCAGATAATGTAAGATAATAATGAAAGAGTGGCGTGGAACATCCAATTGTTTGTTGTTATTGTCACTATGAACTTTCAGGTGTTAAGCTCAAGTAAACAGGTCTCAAAGGCAGCCAAAGAATTTGATAGTCAGAAAGTTGAAACCTACACATGAACCAGGAATATGTACTGTGATTATAACAGATATTTATTGATCAGTGTTTAGTGTCTGTTAACTGTCATTATAACATATATATATTGATCATTGTTGAGGGTCTGTTAACTGTGATTATAACATATCTCATGATCATTGTTTAGGGTCTGTTAACTGTCAGTATAACAGATATATATTGATCATTGTTGAGGGTCTGTTAACTGTGATTATAACAGATATATATTGATCATTGTTGAGGGTCTGTTAACTGTGATTATAACAGATATCTCTTGATCATTGTTTAGGGTCTGTTAACTGTGATTATAACAGATATATATTGATCATTGTTTAGGGTCTGTTAACTGTCATTATAACAGATATCTATTGATCATTGTTTAGGGTCTGTTAACTGTGATTATAACAGATAACTATTGATCATTGTTTAGGGTCTGTTATCTGTGATTATAACAGATATCTATTGATCATTGTTTAGGGTCTGTTAACTGTCTTTATAAGATTCCTCAGACAGTATTCCTATTAACTGTCATTATAATAGATATTTAACTGACATTGTAGGGTCTGTTAACTTCTCTCCTGTAATCATAACAGGTATCTGGGCCCGTATTCGTGAAATCATTCTCGTGCTCAAGCATGGATTCTGTGCTCTAACCTACTTTCTTGCCGCTGGCTTAAAATCATGTTACACAGTCAAAAAGTCAAGTTCAAACAATGAAAATGGTATTTAGCCCTAAGACTCTCCCAAATTCTTCCAGATCACTGACAAAATATTATTTTTCATAAATTTATCACAGGAATACCAGGTAAGAAATTGGGCTTGAGCACAAAATCTGACTATGAGCATGAAAACAGTTTCAAGAAGCGGGCCCAGATTGACATGATATAGTCTGTTGTCTTGTTTACCTTATGTGTTTCCTCAGACAATAATCTGGACGGGTTTCTATGGTGATACCTATACATTTTGACTTGCTCTTCTCTGAATATCTGAAAATATAAACCAATAAAACTTAGGATATATCACTCCTGTATATCGATCCTTATAAACCAAGGGGGTTAGCGTTTAGACCAAGGGAAATCCGTTTAGACCGAGTGGAATCTGATCCTCAGTATGTGGAAAACTGAGGCAGTCTTTCAAGGAAGTCTTTAAGCTTTAAATTCATGGCAGCACCATTACTGAAAATCTGTATGTTATTTGTTGGAAAAACAGCACCTTAGCATTTAATTGTAAGATAAAGTAGAAGAGCTGAAATAAATCATGTATTTATCTGAATCATACAAAACCAGATATATCCCCAAACTGATGGCCGTCTCAGTCACACTACTACTGGTGTAACTAGACTTACTTGACCGCTGGCCAACACTACCATGGGATAGTGTGAGGAATTTACTTGACCACTGGGTTTAACATTACTATGGTAGGGTGTAACTAGACTTACTTGACCGCTGGCCAACACTACCATGGGAGAGTGTGAGGAATTTACTTGACCGCTGGTCAACACTTCCATGGGATAGTGGGAACACTTTACTTGACCACTGGGTTAAACATTTCTATGGTAGGGTGTAACTAGACTTACTTGACCGCTGGCCAAAACTACCATGGGATAGTGTGAGGAATTTACTTGACCCCTGGGTTTAACATTACTATGGTAGGGTGTAACTAGACTTACCTGACCGCTGGCCAACACTACCATGGGATAGTGTGAGGAATTTACTTGACCGCTGGTCAACACTTCCATGGGATAGTGTGAACACTTTACTTGACCACTGGGTTAAACATTTCTATGGTAGGGTGTAACTAGACTTACTTGACTGCTGGTCAACACTTCCATGGGATAGTGTAAGCAATTTACCTGACCATACTATTATCGCATGGTGTGACTGGATTTACTTGACTGCTGGTCAACACTACAATGGGATGATGTGAGCAGACTTACTTGACCGCTGGTCAACATTACCATGGGATCCCCGATGGTATGAGCAATTTACTTAGTAGGGTGTAACTAGACTTAACTTGAGCGTTGGTCAACACTACTATGGCATGGTGTGACTGGATTTACTTTACCCCTGGTCAATACTACTATGGTAGGGTGTAACTAGACTCACTAGACCACTGGTCAACACTTCTATGGTAGGGTTAAACTAGACTTACTTGACTGCCGGTCAACACTTACTTCACCGCCATGGGATGGTGTGAGCAATTTACTTAACCACTGAGTTTGACCACTGGGTTAATATTACTATGGTAACTAGACTCACTTGAACGCTGGTCAACACTACTATGGCATGATGTGACTGGATTTACTTGACCATCGGGAAAACACTACCATGGGATGGTGTTAGCAATTTACATGACCACTGGGTTAATGTTACTATGGTATGGTGGGACTGGACTTACTTGACCGCCTCGTCTACGCTACTACTTGTGTGACCGGACAAAGCGTCATGAAGATTGCGTATGAAGTAGTCTCTGTAATCATCAGGAAGGCTCATAAATGTGCCACCCATCACAATAAACTCCACCTTGTCAACACTGTGGCCGAGTGACATCAGCTGGAACAATGAAATCATACATAGAATGTCTCTTATAATTTACCAAAATAACTAATGAAACAAAATGGTGCATTTTTTTGCTTTTGATTTCGTAGTCATGATTGCATCATCTCTATGTTATTAAAAGTGTTATTATACATTAAACAAAGTATATTAGCCATTACATAGGATAAAATATTGCAACAATACCACCATAAAAGCCTCTATATAATACAGAAGATATTTATAAACCTGAAGTTCTACCTGTTGTACACATGACATGTATTCTGAGAGTCTCAAGGAATACACAGTAAATCAAAACTAAGTTCATGCTGGTTTATTTCAAAAGATGCAAAGAGATGTGGAGTTCCTTCCGGTGGGATAGGACCTGCTGTGCTATTGTAAATTTTGTTTGAATGATGACAAGGACCAGTAAAATGGATATCTCTGACAGTAAAGCTTTTTTCTGGCCCTCTATATATAACAAACACTTAAAAATATAAAGTGTGCAACTCCTTCAATCTATTATCAAAAGATTTTTGTGTGTTTCACCCTAATAGCCTACCTGTTCTACCCGATGTCTTGTCTGTAGGTAGGGATTGTATCGGGCACGGATCGCTCTCATTGATGTTGGCTGTAAAAAGTAAAAATGAATGATGATGTAAACCGTCACAACACAATATTTATACCTGTTAAAATACAAACATATTTTTCATAACACTGATCAGTAAATTTTCTCAAAAACCAAATCAACCCAGAAATTTGGGAGAAATTGAAATTTTGATACAAGATTAAAGACAAAAAAATCTGACATACATGTGTGCAGTATATATAGTTTAAATTGTAGAATTTTTGTTTAAATTATGTGAAGAAAATCAATATATGCAGTATCATGCATTTAAACTGATAGACTTTAAAGAAAAGTCATATAGGGGAGTTATTTTGAAGAAAAACGGCTACTTTCTTGTAAAATAGGTGAATTTTAAAGCACATGGGGGAATTTCAAAGAACAGGGAAATTTTCTTCTGCAGGGGAAACTACACTTAAACGAAAGTGAATCAAGTCTAGATTGATCCATGCAACCTGTTGCCTAGTTGTAATTGTACACACTGTTGTCTAGCAATTTAATTAACATTGGATCTTCGCATCATTCCTGCTTACTGATATGTTGCGATATATCAGTAAGCGGGAACGATGCGAGGATCCTATTAAAATAAGATTGTGTTGTCTAGGTGTGAAAGTTCAGGTTATATTCTAGGTGTGATCAAACAAACTGTAGTCTTCTTGTAAGTTTAGACCATTGGCCTGTAGCCTAGTTGCAATTGTTCATAATGTTGTCTTGCTGTAACTGGTCAGCTATGATGATACCAACATAGACTTGCTAAATTGTAGATCGTTAGCCCAGCTGTGATTATATAGACTTGTATTTTGCGGTAACTGTACAGACCATTTGGTCTGTAACCTAGGTTGTTTTGTAGTTTTGACCATAAGTCTGTAACCTAGGTTGATTTGACTATAAGCCTGTAACCTAGGGTGTTTTGTAGCTCTTTATTTATACCTCGTAACCAGTGTAGGACTGCGTAGAGTACTCAAAGTCAGAGTCGGGTCCACCAGGACAGTATCTATAACAGGAACAAAACCATGTTTGGAAAGTTAGTGACATAAATAAATATATATAATACATTTAACATAATGTATTAAATAAAATAAAAATTACTGGTAGTTATACCTTGTCATTGAAATCAATTCTTTACTCAGAACAAGATTTTTTTTCAAAATAATGAAGTTAAAATATTTGACTGCTGAAAGTGATCACATGTTCAGTTCATTTCCTTATTAACTTGAAGTTTTGTTAACACAGCCAGATACCTCTCAACAGACACATGCATAATGTTGGGGATATTTACACAGGTTTTTTACAGATATGTTGACAGATACTTACACACAAATGTTACCTGTCATAGCGATGTGGGAGATACTTACACACATATGTTACCTGTCATAGCGATGTGGGGGCATCTATGTGGCTTACACATGACTGCAACAACTGCTATCTATAAATAAATTATATCAATATCTCAAATTACATATAATAACTTAAAGGGGTAGGCAAATGCTTTTTTTTAACAATAAAAATTGTTTTTGGTCATTTATATTTTAACAAGAAATATGAAACAAAAGCCTGAATATTTGTAATGAAAACCAGATTATTATTCTTTTGAATGCAGAAAACTAGCTACCGTGCCCCTGTGCTCTGTGTTTTCCTGTTGACATGAATTTGAGGTTTAGAAGAAAGCACAAACAACATTACAGAGAACCATTCCGATTTCGGACAACTCTACTGTAGCAGGAGGTGCTAAGGGGGATAACTCCTCCAAGGTAACTGATCATACAAACTGACAATATTCTGCAAAATAATCATTACTCCTCTGTACTGATCTATGTTAAGATCACTCTACTGAGCAGAAATAAAGCTCACATTACACTATTGACTATTTAAAAATAATGATAAAATTAATCTGATTTTCCTTTTTCACACCAAACCAATTTTATTTCAAAATTATAAAACAAAAACAGAAAAAAACAAGCCTGTATAATTTAGTCTGCAGGATGACCGAGCTACCTAGCTGTGTTGGTGATGAAAATATTCACTCAGTCAACACTAGTAAAACTTTATAGTCAAAGTGTGTCTGTCCTGGGAAAGGTATAAATTGATCCATATCTGAACAACTAATTAGAAATGTGCAGTAACTTACCCCGCTGGCTGTTCTTACAGGCTTGGCCTTGAGTTTGGGTAAAAGTATCTGTGCAAAAAGAATCAGTGTTAACAAAATCAATGATGTTTTACAATATTCCCCAACCAAACTTCCAATTATTTGTCTTAATTTTTTAACAGAATGGCATCACAATTCCTGGCTGTCATACTATTCAATGGTAAATTTTATATCCGAATGAGAAATGTGAGACAGTTGTAAAATATTTATGCAAAACAACTCAAACTGGGCGTCGGGGACGGGTGATCTACCATACTGAATAGCATGTACTGCTAATTAGTTTTAATGTTAATTACCTTTTTATGTTGAGGGGGAACAGCTGCAATGATATCCACAAGTCTTGGCTGACTTGACAATCCATATTTGCTGGAGATTCTGCACTTAATTCTGTGGATACAATGACGTGGGTTTTATAGTAATACATGTGACCTGGTCTCTTTATATTCAATTAAACAAACTTCACATGTCGATAGCAATGTTAGAGAAAAAAAATCCCAGTCAGACAAATTATTCCTCCATTCCCTGCTGTGATAATATAGATAGTATTAATTAACACTGTTTTTGCAACATTACCATTTTGTCTCGTGCTGAACTGGTAAATACCATTAACAGTCAGGATTTTACAGATACCTGTATTAGCTCTCGGGCCTCTGGCCATCTGAACTAATATGACAGTCTCTTGTTGAAATGGGGTAGATGATGAAATGGCTACCTGTGATAACCTCTTAGTATCTCAATGTCAAACAAATAACCAGTAAAATGTACCCACATTTCTGTCATTTTCTGCCAGAAAAAACATGTCTTAGAACAGGCACATGTACTTTTTGAAATTTAATATCTTTCCAAGATGATGATAACTAAGATATTGAGCTTTGAAGTTATACATTTTAAATACAATAATCAGTTTCATTTTCCAAATCATAAGAAATGTATCACCTGTTTAGGTTCACATCTTTGCCATCCTCATGAGCTTGAAGTAATTCCTTCACAATTTCAGATACAGTCAAGATCATAAGTTCCTCTCTTGTTGCCCCAGGCAGGATTGCTGAAATTTAATTTTTGTTATAGATGCATACATTTCAACTTCTAACTATATAAAGAACAAGTCTTCTTCGTGTAGTCAATTAGGGGGATTATGTATAATGATTGTCTGACTGCGTATCCAGTGAAGTTCTTAGCTGACATGCATTTACGCTAATATAATCATTAATATTTGTTTTCAAATATTAACCTGTAGCTACCAGATGCAGATGACTGCGGTAAAACGCACTATGACCAGAGACGTATGGTTTAAACTTTCTGTCATGACTCTTATATAATGAACTGACAATCAACACTATAGATGAAATGTAAAACATTGTAATACATACTTCTGTTTTTGTTCTTCCCCATGATTGATTAATGTTAATGTTATCGATTTGGTGAAAACATGATAATAAACCACTGTTTATGGTGCAATCTGCAATCCACATGGACATAGAAATGAACTCAGATCAGTTTACGCCCTTGACATCAGAAATACGCTTGTGCATTATAACGACCAAATAAATCAGGCTATTTGACCTTCACCTAATATGTTTTCGTACCAAATTAATTTGCCATTACTTGGCCATAAAACATATAATAAATACAAAATGCCAATAAAACATCACTAGTAAATGCTTTCTACAAAAGAATGTTTACAAGAATAAGGAGAATATAACATGTCACAATAAAATCGAAACTACGGACAGCTGTTTTACATTACCCTGTATTTAAAGTTCCGGTATGATCAGATGCAACAGTTAAGGCCTACACTTTTTCTGCTATCTATCAATGTAAAACTTAAGTCTTATATCTTTTTGTTATCTTGAACACCCTTTACACTTAAACAGAACAATTTACATTAATTATCAAACATAAAAATAAATGTCTAAATTCTAGATATTTGGAGGGTTTTTTCCCATGCCACCGCACCGTACTGTAACGGGAAGTTGACATGAAAACACTATTCATTATATTGTTTCGTTAATTTTTTTAAACGCCACTCGATACATTGAATTTGTATGAACATAGAAGGAAGTTACAACGATAGAAGTCGCTTGATTATTTCCAGGGTGCGATTTTAACCAAGGAGTCAATAATTTGTTTGCCTGACAGGTACGTTTGAAGTTTGTTTACATTTTTAAAACGTGCACGTCATCCCATCCGACCATTCATCATCCCCCACCCCCCTTCCCCTCAATATTTCGTACCGTATGAGAAGCAACTGCAATTGCTTTATTCATTTACTCATAATACTCATACTCCTCAGTAAAGACTAGAGTCTATATTCTCATGGAGTCTTCATAAGTGGCTGGCTGTGTCTCCCTGGTCGAAGAACATAAATGTCAGAATTTCTGAACGGACTGATAGATTTTGTTCGAACGCACCGTACTGTAAAAGTATGAGTAAGTATTCTCAATAAGTCGACTCATCTCCAACATTGAAGGGGCTCGATCAACAGATGGTACTAAGTCCTTTATAGTTCATTCTTTTCATTAATTACCTAAGTAAATGCTGAGGAAGATGCCTTAAATATCCTATAATATCTACAAGGGAACATTCTGGATAGTGAGTCGTTACTGGAGGATGTAAGGGTACTGGATAGTGAGTCGTTACTACGTTACTGGAGGATGTAAGGGTACTGGCTAGTGAGTCGTTACTGGAGGATGTAAGGGTACTGGATAGTGAGTCGTTACTAGAGGACGTAAGGGTACTGGATAGTGAGTCGTTACTAGAGGATGTAAGGGTACTGGATAGGGAGTCGTTACTACGTTACTAGAGGATGTAAGGGTACTGGATAGGGAGTCGTTACTAGAGGATGTAAGGGTACTGGATAGTGAGTCATTACTACATTACTGGAGGATGTAAGGGTACTGGATAGTGAGTCATTACTTCGTTACTGGAGGATGTAAGGGTACTGGATAGAGAGTCGTTACTACGTTACTGGAGGATGTAAGGGTACTTGATAGTGAGTCGTTACTAGAGGATGTAAGGGTACTGGATAGGGAGTCGTTACTGGAGGATGTAAGGGTACTGGAAAGTGAGTCATTACTACGTTACTGGAGGATGTAAGTGTACTGGATAGTGAGTCGTTACTACGTTACAGGAGGATGTAAGGGTACTTGATAGTGAGTCGTTACTAGAGGATGTAAGGGTACTGGATAGGGAGTCGTTACTACGTTACTAGAGGATGTAAGGGTACTGGATAGTGCGTCGTTACTGGAGGATGTAAGGGTTCTGGATAGTGAGTCATTACTACGTTACTGGAGGATGTAAGGGTACTGGATAGGGAGTCGTTACTACGTTACTAGAGGATGTAAGGGTACTGGATAGTGCGTCGTTACTGGAGGATGTAAGGGTTCTGGATAGTGAGTCATTACTACGTTCCTGGAGGATGTAAGGGTACTTGATAGTGAGTCGTTACTAGAGGATGTAAGTGTACTGGATAGTGAGTCATTACTACGTTACTAGAGGACGTAAGGGTACTGGATAGTGAGCCGTTACTACGTTACTAGAGGATGTAAGGGTACTGGATAGTGAGGCGTTACTACGTTACTAGAGGATGTAAGGGTACTGGATAGTGAGGCGTTACTACGTTACTAGAGGATGTAAGGGTACTGGATAGTGAGTCGTTACTACGTTACTAGAGGATGTAAGGGTACTGGTGGGAGAGATGTCTTCAACTACGCGTTGAAGAGAGAGCAACTGACAACAGAGCTAGATCAGTAAGTAACATTGATATAATTGTCAACAAGTGACCTGCTGTCATGGAGAAAACATGTCAACAAAATGATGAAGAACACAAACAGCTTTTGGCTTCCTACATAGAAACTGGAGAGAACTTATAATCACAATGTTCGTAGAGAGGAGATCAAGTCGATCAGTAGCCTTTTGCTTCATATTTAGGCTGACACTGGAATATATTTATCTGCTCTTCAGTATATGGAACCCATATACCAAGGACCTTTAAATATTAAATATAAAGATCTAGATCATCAATGGACTTTTGATATTGGTACCTGTCAATGCCTCTGACTTGGTATTTTATGATTATTGGTTTTCCTACCTATATCCTTCTAGACTCAACAGGACAGTTTCAAGAAAGTCTATAAGATATGTCATTTGAGGATCACCTTGGTATTTCTTGGCTGCTACAGTAGCTAGATTAATTCTTGCAGTTCGCCTCAAGACTGAAGAGTTTGTTTCTACACACCTCTCGATACTTGGAATGTCTTTTTTTCTAAAAAAATCATTTTCATCTTGATAGTATTCATACATATTAGCTGGCCTATTTGGAGAATAGGGGGCTTATATCTGCATCCTAGTTCCACTTAAGGTTAAAGTTTATGATCAAGCTAAGTTTTTCAGACAGTGTCAGATCACCACAGTCAAGAGGCTGTGATGACTATAATAAGGCTGGGGCATTTACATTTGTATATGGATATGGAGTGTAAGATAAGTGCTGAATCCTTTTCACATAGAAATTAAACAGCTTAATGGGAGTTGGTTAAAGGTTTTGACCAAACTTTACATTAAATTTCTTTAGCAAGTTTTTCCAGTGTTAGAACTCCGCAATCAGTATGGCTGTTGACTTTTATAATGTTGAGGCATTTGTTTGGAGTGTAAACAATGTGAAAAACTATTTTTTCATGCTTAAGTAATATTCAGATATATCTATATATGACACTGAAACTTCACTGCATCACATATTCTGTATTGTTACCTGTATTGTAATTATATAATCTACCAACAATGATACTAAAAATAACTCGGTTTAGATATATATATACCTACAACAGGTTACATATATATTACTATTGACATTTACAATATATCTGAGATATCATGAATTAGTAAGCTGTTTTCCCAACAGCTCTTTAATATTCACTATACAACCTATCCCAACCCCGCTGCAATAAAGTTAGGGAGCTGGCCGTGGTATATCAGAATGTCTGGCCACCCGTCTGAAGACAGATGCCTGACTGGTGCAGTGGTGCGCAAATTCTTTTCTAGTTTTTGCATAACTTGGTACATAATTGATCAGCACAGTATTGTAGTTGTGGGGATGTTGTTGTGGACTTGTGATTTTTTTTATTCTTCACTTTTTTCAATTATTTTCTTTGGGGTTATGTCCCTTTTGTTTTCTGATATCCCTGTATGAATTTTGGCAAGCAGCCTCAATTCTGGCCATCTCAATTTAACAACATATATTATAAACTTAATATATCAGCTGACACTGCAGTCTCACAATGTTGCTTTTACAATTTGCCACAACCTATATGTTTTACAATCTTAATAAGCCCCCTCCCCCTTTCCCCTTCAGGCAATTGTATGTTCATGGGCTGTGGTTGATGAATTATGTTAAATAGGGTACATGTAAAGATACAGGCACCTAATTATATAATCATGGTAAATCAAGGTCATTTCCTCTAATCAGGTTGGGAAATGGTTTCTGGTTCAAACAGTATAAAGTATACAGCTATACGTTTTGGGTCATTGTATCAGAGCACTGATAAAAGTCTCCCAATGTCAATCCAGGTCACTTTATGGCAGGTAACCTTAACATGTATAGTCAAGATAACATTCATAACGTACACATATGATGGAATGTTTTAATACTAGCAGGTACTAAATTTACTTCCAATGCAACTCTTCAATTTTGAAGCCAATTTATACAACAGTTTGAGCATATGATGTTCATGGATCTCCTATGTGAGTTTTATGAAAAAGTATTAAAAAAAACACAATAATTCCATATATACAAGTATATTATTAAGTTGTTATGTGACAGATTCATTTAAAGTGTATGTTTATTTGAACAAATTGAATAAAGCAATAATTAAATATTTCTTTTATCTTTGGGTCACAGTCCATGGAGATGTAATGAGAGATGAATTAATTGGATTCCTAAAACCTGCAGTCCAGCAGTGTCTTCTTTCCTGAGTTCTGTACCATATACGTCTGCGGAGGAGATCCACAGAGAACATGTATTGTTTACAATGGCTCATCCCTGTGCTCCTGATTCCTAAGCCCCTCAGTCCAGCACTGGTGTACAATCAGTCCATGTTCATAGTGCTTTATTTGACTGGATTCTTCCTGGAGAGGAAGCCCTGCACGATCTGTAGTGTCGTGTTTGTGGCAGCCATGTTTCTCATCTGTTACAGTTGTTCAGGAAACTGTCTGTTCTGGCATTGTCCAGAAGAATTGTGTGACCAGACGGGGTGTGGAACTTGAACCAGCTGAGCCACTGCAATGGTTTAAAAAAGAGTAGAAATGTTTGTGTTTGGTCGAGACTCCTGAATGTACGCATTAGATTTGGTGGTAATATACTTATTTTTTGGTCAAGTATATGTACGTTGTTATACTGGTATACTTGTATTTTCACACCATTTCCATGCAACAATACAACACCGTTCCAGGACTGTCCTAAATTTATGATAAAGGGTGAAGGGTTTGGGGCAACCGTAATATATAAAAAAGCAAGTACCAAGGAAATT